CCATCTGCAGGGTGATTGACTCGCCAATACTTGCTGTCTGCGTTCGCTGAAGTGGACGCGTATAAACAATATCTAAATCGGGAAAAACACAGTAAATTATCTTTGACATTTGACTTCCGCAATCTAACGCGCCAGACCTCTCTTTCCTTTCGAAATCATTTTCCATAGTTGTTTATTTGTTTTTCACAAGACTGCTCCTTTAAGGAGCAGGTGGTATCCCCCAAAATTTAACGCATGATTGCTTATTGATTGGATTGAAAAGTTCGATTTTTTATTCACAAATATTGATAGCCAGAATAAATCTTATAAGGAAGCGTTCCGAGAAGGGCTCAAATGCAAGGAAATAATATTTCTGGGTGGAGGGGGGGAATTATTATGTCTGGCTAATTGGGATCCTGGGAGTGCCACCGTTGACAACCCTGGGCTTGTCCGAAAATAGCGTTGCAGGCCAAATCGTCTAGCTGGTGACAAAGGTTTTGTCCATTGATTATTATCACTTTTTATTAAGTATTAAATCAGGGGTAAATCAGAAATTGAAAGGTTGTACTTCTTCTCATTTCATCCCAATAAAAGGTGCCATTGTCCGTTAGTTTCCCGTCTGTCTGTCTTGTCAATCCCTGAATTGTAAGCCCCTGCAGTCAATCCTTTTAAGTGTTGGTCCGGAAGGAAGACAAGGGGCAGCCCGTTCATCTGGGCTCACCGAAGGGTACCGGTAGGTCTGGAGGCCAGGATGATACATGTATAATACTTTTGCAATGTGTAATTGCTACTCATGCTTGCATAATTTCAACTTCAGTACTAATACGGTGTAAAACCCCCTAATTGCCTATAGTAAGCGTTACCATCTGTGGGTAGAATGAGGGTTTGTATCTTGGTCATCACGCCATTCCTAGTTGCAGTACTGTAGAAGACGCCTGTTCTATCAATCCCGCCTGCTTCTGGTAAGCTAAGCAACCTGGCTTTACACCCCAAACTGGCATCGTAAAATCCAACAGCTCCTGTAGGCAGATCGTCATTGCTTCCTCCTGTTGTCAGTTGACGGCCAAAGGAGACTGCAGCTGCGATATCAGTGGGACTTTTGTACGCTGCTAAGGTAGAACCATTGTTGCCGGTGGGGCCAAGAACAGCAGGACTGGCAACCAGAGTAACATCCACTCTTCCTGATGGAGAAATAGGTATGAAAATTATTGTTCTGTCTTGTATATTCGGGTTAGGTGGTTGAAGGTTGTCTGCATCTTTTAAAGAAGCTGTCAGAGATTTTTTATGAAAACCTCACGTTGAATTTTGTCGCGACCGTGTTTGCATCTAAAATAAGTGAAAGCGCACCTACAATGTGAAATTACTTTTTCAAGGAGAAGTGCAACTTTCTTTACAAGGGTACAATGACTTCCAAATACCAACTACACATTTTAGTCACTGTTAAGCCAGAGTGTCGTTGTAAAAACGCCAGGAAGGGTTGAAAGTCGAATCTTTATTCAAATTTAGGTTTCCTTTTGGCAGCTGTAACCTCTCAAAGTGAAGCCCAACCTCTGATTTGCCTCATAGTTAAAAGAATCTATTTAGGACTAAGTCCTTAAGTATAACTTGAAGTTTTCCTCATTTCACTGGAATATAGCTCTTAATAGGGTTAAAAAACTATTTTAGTGTGTATTTCGACAGCATAAAAGAATCGAGCAAGTACAAACGCCTTCAAACAAATTTTGTCCTAAACCAAGATGCATTTCTCAATGAAGAACAATCAAAATGAACTAAATACTACCGAATGCTAGAGTTATAAGGTAAAAATATCAATACATGCAATTCAGTGTTTCATTGTGAAGCGTTAAAAATCTTCATTCGGGAGAATGATTATATAACAGTTTGGATTAGATGAAAAGACGACAGGCTTTAAGCTGACTTTTGAATCTACTATAATCATTAAGATAAAAGGACACAGAAAGTAATCGCATCGAAGCAGTAACATTGAAAATCAAAGGAAGTTTAGTATAAAAAGTGACTGTGAACAGATTTAAAAGGGGTTGACTGGGCTTGGTGTTTACTGTCCTACCTGCGACACTGGATGTATCCTCATTGTCTCGGATTTCTTCAACTCTGACTTCAGCCATATGAAGGCACTTATTTCTGATACCATTCCCATTCAGTTGCACACTGACGTATTGAGCGGAGACGACTGGGTCTACCATGAAATCAATCACTGCTCCATTGGTAGCTTGACTCGAGGAGACTGATCCTATCCTCGTGTTCTGTGAGAAATCTGATGCGTTCAAACCGGCTCGTACTACAGCACCTGCCAATCTCCACCCTGCATGTGCAAATGGTGCAACAAACAAAACTGAATTAGTCCTTCCAAATAAAACGGCTCTGAGGCAGGGATTCTAATCCGACTTGTCTCGAGAACAGTCCCGCATACATTTACGTTCAGAGAAATACCTAATACAATGTTGACCTGTTTATAAACTTTGAAAACCAGATATATGTGACTAAAATAATTGTGATATGAAAACACGAAAACGTATGAGAGTATCATCGCGAGGACTAACCAGCCGCCCGCACTGCTTACAACAATATTTTCTATTAATCTGAATGAAAAATACTAGAGTATCGCATCTCATAAATATCTGAGCGTATAATAAAGATGTACCATTATGACTTTTCAAAGGTACAATGATATTGAGACATGCTCTCTGTCATCCTGTAATTGTGAAAGATCTCCCAGGACTGTTTTCAAAGTTGTTCAAAAAGGCCAAACTTGTCTTTTTGCCCAAAGATGAAACTGAGGATATGAATATTGAATATTGGTCCATCGACTCTACTATTTTTTAATGGCTTTGAGCTTTGTAAGTGATATAGACAACAATGAAAGTACTTTTATAATAGCTCCTGTTTACTTAAGCACAACTTTTGATCATGTCGGACAGAAACACTAGTGTGCAGCATGTAGTTAACACCTAGAGGACTTTAAAGTATTTCAAGTCATTGTCATCAAAAATTCCCGATTGTTATAGTCAACCTGGCATTGCTCCATGGACTTGGGCAAATTATTGTCCAACAAATTCCGCCTACCATTTTCTTTTTTCGGCTGGTGACAAAATTAAAGCACTCGGATTTGAATAGAAACTGTCCCCCTGTAGGTATGTTAGGCCTACTGGTTGACCCCAACGGTTGACCCTGGTATTTACATGATTATTTTCAGTCAATGTTATTGGCCATTCGCGACATGAAAATTACAGCATCCAAACATACGACGTGAGAAAAGGGTCCAAAGCTTTGTAAAGACAGTCTTACCACCGTGGTCTCGTCTGTTGACTATAGTGATTTTCGTCAAGCAGTAGATTGCTTGGAGATCTACCATCCACCACTGCTCCCCAGTGCATCCTGTCAAACAGAATACATTTGACAAAGACTGCAGGCTTTGTTGCGCGATGATGGATTAGATAATTTAACTTATTCAACGAAGAGCAGTTAACATGAAACTGATGGCAAACGAAAACAATAAAGTTTCCTATATATATACCGTAGGTTGTAAATGACAAACCATATTAATACACCCGAAATGCTTTTCCAGTTGCATTGATAAATATACTATATATGCAATCTTACCTTCCGTCTCTCCGTACAAAATATCGATAAACACGGACCACTTCTAGTTTACTTTCATATAAAAAAGGAACTGGGAGTGGTAGTTTGGGAGGAAAACCTTGTTATTTAAAATAGGCTAGTTTGTCCTGCATTGTTTGCACCAACTTAAAATTCTTGAATACAGTCAACTCTCGTTACAACAAAGTTGCAGAGACCAGAGAAATTAGTTTGTCCCAACTATGGCTTTGTTGTAAGAAGAGTGGAAAAACGATGAAAGAAATCCGTCCTTCCAACAATTTTTTTTTTGTCGTGAGAGTCGACACAAATTCTGAACATCTTTGGAAATGTTGATACAACCCACCAGACTCTTGAAAAAATAGAGTTTTAATGTAATCGTTACTACACAGTGTGGTGTAGACATACCTAATGTGTGTTGAATTGTGTTGACATCTCCATCTATTGCTTTGTCCGGTGAAAGGTTGGGATCGTTGTAAAAACTTTGACTGGCTGGCTTACCAATAAGAACTAAGGCGAGACCTGTCATAAGGAATAGGAAATGTTACTATATGAATACTNAGCGAGGGTTGGTTAAGGGCTGCCAAAATTTTCAGAATCGTACATCAATTCTTTCTTTTTTATGTACTACATGTTCATCGTTAGACTTCTAACTGCAGTCGCTGGCCTATTTAGGGAGAAGGCGACCTTTTTTCTCTTAAGAAGGAAAGCACAACATTAAACATTAAAGCACCTTAGGACACTGGGTAGGAATGGCAAAAATACTTTTAGAATTCCAATCAGGCCCCGGACACGTCAGTGTTGATCATGACCAATTCTCTATGCCTAGTTATCAGCGACTATACAAATTCATTTTTGACTATACAAATTCATTTTAATAAGAGGTTGTTCAAATAGGAAGGATGTTACTCAAGAGGATATGCGACCTCAAAGAAAACAGAAGTTGACATAATGAAATGTGAATTTAGAACAATTATCTTTGTCATAAAAAGTAATGTGCACAATAATTTAGTTCCGACAGATTTTGTATTCCTCATGGATTAAAGCCTCTTAACACTCCAATTAGTAGGGCAGCCCATCTAACCAGGTAATTAATCCCTCTTTCTGACGGGGTCTGTTTGAGAATTGATTATTGTTTATTTGGAGAACAATAGACTACGTTCATTGTAGTCTGCAAAGTTGTCTGTGGCAATATTGAAATCCACTGTGCTAAATCTTAGCATCTCACTTTGCAAATTTCTTTGGCCTTTGACTTCATTTTTTTTTCAAATAAAAATCCCATAATGCCTTTCTTAACGACCTTTTTGGTCGCAAAAACCTTCGCAGTTCGATAATTTAAAAATAATTTTCAGGAGAGAAATGTCAGTTATATCTACTACCCCCTGCACATCATGAAGCAGTTTGGAAAAAGTACTGCAACTTTTGTGACGGTCGAGACGGAATTAAGGCACCCACACCTAACGTAGCTTGGGGCTTATGCTTTGTTTCATGCAATGTTAACACCAACCGTCTTCAATAGCAGCTCCATGCAGAGGATAAGCCCCCTAGTGCCACCCATGAGTACACTTCCTTGGAATATGAGGGCCATGAACCCTATTGGTCGGTATTTTAATTTGTACAAGTCATGGCAGAAATACTTCTAGTGTAAATACATAGCTCATTATCTACTTCCGGGTATCCAGAACACCCTCTGAGCTAAAATAATCAAATTTCATACCTCTTGGGAAAAGTATAAGACACAAGAGCATCGAAAGTCTTGATCTGCATGACATGACTGCTCCAACATGGACAATATCCTCTTATAAAAACACTGCCAAAGCACTTAACATCTCTCACGCACAATCCTTTCTCTGAATGTAGAAATGACGTTGCTTTCAGTTTAGAAGCTCAAGCATAATTTACTCCATAACCTTTGTACCCTATTGACAACACGGGCTAGTGCATAGCATAGCGGTACCTTTCTGCACAGGCTGCAGCTGTGTTAGCTGCACTTATTTCCTGGTTAATTGTACATTAAAGGTTACGTTTGATGCGTTTTGTGTTTTCATGTACCCTCCGCCAAGTCCTACCACTATGTCCGTGTATTTGCGTCACTTATTTCCTGGTTTCGATTCGACAGAAACCTGGCCTGAGGTCTATGTTGGCGTCCACGATAAATTCCGCTGAACTTGACTGCTGCCACATAGGGGAGGATCTCTGACCAGAATGTAACTGTGTGGGGAAGCAATTCTCTCGTTTGATAGAGGATTTGTATGATGGCTTCAAACGTATCTTTTGGGGAACTATGCCCAAAATTATTAAAACGGGCGTGGATGATGAGAAATTGGGGTGGGGGACGTTGTTCGGCTGTCCAGCGCCACAGGAGAAATTTGGAGATGTAGTCCAGACACAGCTCTTTTCGACCCACCCATTGGACGTCTGCTACCCCCGCCAGAGCTGCCCGACAGTGGACGATGGCGTCACATTTACTGGGACTCTCGCAATAACAACATGGGTAACACACAAATGTTTAACATTTAAAACATATACAGCTATTTTTTTTCAAAATAATCATGTACAATTTGAAATTGCAAAGAAATCTCTACTTTATGCATGTTCCGAGTCACCTAAAATGTCTCCAATGGTTCAATGCACGGTACCTGACTTGTGAACATTAACATTTCAGTAAATTATTCCGTTAAATTACAAATATCTGGGGAGATAACACGGACCCGTTTCTATTCATGCTGTTCAGTTCCTTCAATCGACTCAATTCAATCAATGTCTTCAAGTCCAATCCATAATTCACGTCATAAACATTTGTCAGTAATAATGTTCAATTTTAGGCTTAATTTCCAATCGGTCTAAAATTTTGATTCAATCATACGCAATTCTCCAATTTAGTATTTGATCAACTGTCTCAATACTCAATCCCCAGGCGCACATTACGGCATAATAGTCACAATGACATCAAATAAAATATTCTCATTTTCAAGGCAATATTAAACCTTACATGAATTAACAAGCAATGCCAAAATTGTGTCACCATATCACTGGTAAATTATCAACAAAGGGAAACCAGTATATCAATCAGTAAATTCTACATTCAAAGACGTGCGACAATGCCAACAGGTGCACAAATATCAAAGAATCAACGAATTATCCACAATTACCACCACTCAGTGAAGTTATCAAGGAATTATCAGACATTTTATACAACAATAAATATTTTTGAAGAAGATTTTCTAATGGTGCTTGAGGGAGCCAGGGTAGTTTCCTCCCACACCCATCGTCCAAGTCACACTGGCAAATACAGTCACGGGATAGGACGACGCTGCGAAGAAAATATCGGGTTGTTGCAAACCGTCTGCAGATTGTAGAAAAGGTTTCACTCGGCAAAGGAACAGTGACTGCGGAACCCAACTCTCAGGCCTTACAAGTCAACAGGGTCTCCAGGATATCAGTGCTTCCCAGACCATGATGGTGTACATCACTGAACAAGACCATCAACCCCTGAAAATAAATTACTCCATGCCAGAAAACAGATGCAGACAGTTTTCAAGAATCACCATTTTATAATATTGGCAAAATTTCCATACCATGTCAACCAAGCAATTCAATGCAAAGATCATAGAGTGCAACGTACGACTGCTGTTGTCACACCGACTTATGCTTGCCCGAGCCATGCCCAACTTGACTTCATAGAGCCGAAGTCATCTGTGCCGATAGCCAATGGACGGCACAGGCAAAACCAAAATGTCTATGTCAGCATGAACTCAAAACACCATGTTCCTTCTACCGAAACAAGTAGAAAATCTCACCCACACCAACTTCCATCCAACCTCATACACACACATCTACATTCAATAAATACTAAGGATGCACTCATGAACGCCCATGCATTCCTAAACTGGCTCAACAAAAAAGACATTTGGTGAATTTGGGTTTATTGTGGCCAACAGCATCCGTGGTCCTAACAGTGAAGAAACTAGCAGGAAAAAAATGTAGTTACTCCGATTCAGCTGTGACAACTGAAGGAAACAAAAGCAGCATTTGATACTGTAAAACAAACAATCCAACCTCCGTAAATTATAACGTAACAAGGTTGTGGGAAATTGCGGATACAGTGGTGGTAAATGCGTGACTGCCAGCGGCCCATGATGCGTTGTATGTAAGCCTCAAGAATATCTTCTATGGCTGCTGACATGGCCGCACCAATACGCGAAATGAATGCGAAGTAAAGCCCGCATCTTCAAGGCCCACAAATTGCAGGGCGCGCTTTAGAACAGTCGTGAATTGAAAACGGGTCACAGGGCAGAAAATGGGTGAACTGAGAACGATTACAGAGACAATGTTTGCGTTGCTATGGAATAATGTAAAATAAATCCTTAATTTTTAAATAAAATAAGCAAGAAGGAATAAGAAAGAAGATGGAATAAAGTGTCCACGTTTCCGTACTTCAGTTTCGTACACCCTGGCTGCATTGTTTTTGAGTGAAAGTACGTGCAGGGTTTACATTTCAAGTTATATGTGGATACTCAGCTGAAAACACTTTCGATTTTGTAAATGTAAAGTGGTCAGATTCCCTTAAACATTATGGTTGGTTTGAAACGAGTTTCGTATTAAATCGTATTTGAAATAGGTTATAATTTTTACATGGCACGTGATAACCTTTTTCAACCATATTCCACATAATTCAATTTCTTGCTTCTACAGTTTTATTCAAAAATGTTAACCTGTTTTTTTTTTTTTGCACGATGCAATGTCGCCAATCCATGAACTGTAAGATTTTTTTGTTTCTGTCCGCTCCGCACAGCGCCCCCTTCCCTTCTAAAGGGAACAATTAAAGAATCATCATACATGAGTTTCGAGCTTGAGGGAGAGAAGGCGCAATTTTCTTAGCAAAGGGGGTTCATTTGGTCGGAACAGAACTTCGCTGGTTTACAGAAGACTAGGAAATGCACACTTTACTGTCGCATTGCTATCAGAAAACAAATGCTCCCGACAAACATGGCTTTTCTTAGTTAATGACGGGATGCTTTTGCTCGAGGCAAATTGAAAATCACAAGAAGTCACCATGATCTGGTGATCTGGGTTCTATTATCCAAAGTATAAAGGTTGAAACGTTTTCCCGGAAATACAAGCAGTGCTCTGTTTAATACCAAATATGTTGGGATTATTGTTAACTATGGTTATGTACTCTATCGTTCGTGTTTGAAATAAGAGCTAATATGGCGTCTCTTCATGATGTCTACTCGCGACCCCTTGTCTTACCATTGCTGGTGTTTATTGGACTCACAATCAACAAAGGTAATAATTAATTACTGTTTTCACTCTTTCTAGTGCAAAGGAAGTAGGAGAATTTATTTATCTCACGTCGCGGGCTGCATCCCGGGAAAAATCAGTGACAAGAGGCACTTACCGCGTTGGTACAGGTTTTTTTTAAATTGTTTTGGTGAGTAAAGGAACTGAACAGTAAATGGCAAGAATCCTGAGGCCGCCCTGAAGCTGCTTTCAAGCAGGGCCGAAGGAAGCGTGTTTCTTAGTGTGTTCTTAAATGTTTAGAACCAAAAAAGTGCCACAAACTGGACTTTTGCGAAAGTTGGGAGGGCTCTGTTGTGTTTTAGTCATCTTT